ATTCTGCCTTTTTCTGCATTAATCCATCGAGTGACCAGATGGCTCTAATTCACACTGGGTGTTAAAATGTGTCTGTCATATATCTATATCAAATCTGTCTCTATCTATCTATCTATCTATCTATCTATCTATCTATCTATCTATCTATCTATCTATCTATACCTATCTGTCTTTCTATCTATCTACCTATCTGTCTGTCTACACCTATCTCTGTCTGTCTGTCTGTCTGTCTGTCTGTCTATCTATCTATCTATCTATCTATCTATCTATCTATCTATCTATCTATCTACACCTATCTGTCTTTCTATCTATCTATCTACACCTATCCCTATCTATCTACACCTCTCTCTCTCTCTCCACCTATCTCTATCTATATCTACCTATCTATCTATCTGATATCTATTTTATATCTATCTATCTATCTATCTATCTATCTATCTATCTATCTATCTATCTATCTATCTATCTATCTATCTATCTGATGTCTGTCTATCTATCATCTATCTTATCTGTCCTGTCTGTCCTATCTATCTAATCTAATAGATGTATTCTACCTGCCTACCCATCTTCATCTCTGTCTGTCCTATCTTATCTAAAAGATGTTCTACCTCTCTGTCTACCTGCATCTGTCTGTCTCTGTCTGTCTGTCCATCTGTCCTATCTAATAGATGTGTTCTACCTACCTATCCATCTTCATCTATCAGTATATGTCTTGTCTTTCTACCTGTCTATCAATCATCTATTTCAGTGCATTGTGCAAATGGAATTGGGGAGTTATAAGTGGGTTGTGTGTATGTGTTTATCAGCCTGGCGTTAGGGTTTGGGAGTTGGGAGGGATTGGAAGTGATGGGGGCATCAGTTGGGTAAGAATCATTTCATTGTCTCAAACAGATTGCATCCTGGTGAGACTTGAGCTGACTGTGTCTGTCTTCCTTGAAAGGGCGGGGACTGGTTAACCTGGTTGATCCTCAGAGACTGGAGGATTGCTCAATCCTCTGGGGAACCAGATAGTCATCCTGACAACATCCTGGTCTCATTGTGGCATTTTTGAGCTGAGAAGAGTTGTTGAGGCTTTCACGCTGGAGAGCTGTTTTGGGCAAGCCCAGGTTGAAGGCAAATGAATTGACAGGTGACTTAAGGCACAGAAGTATGAATTTTGCAACACATCTGACTGGGCACAGATCAAGGTCCACTTACGTGTAGCTCTGATGCCAGCAATGAGGATTTATTTCTCCATCATGGTGGTGTCTTAAGGGAACTGCCCAACAGAGCTTTCTCAACTACTGGAGACTTTACTTGGTGATAAATTTGAGGCAGAACTGACTAAATTATGGTAATTGGTTTGGGAAGACTTTTGCCTACAAAAATCCTTGTATGTGCTTCAAATTAGTGCATTTTTTTGAAGGGCTTGTTGAATTATGGAGGTGCCACCTGGTCAGAGTTTATGAGATCCCTTTAAATTATATTATTACAGCCTCAGGAAGTAGACTTCTAGCTCTGTTGATGCTTTTTTAGACTTTTGTCCTTAGTTGCTCTAATTGGATAGATCCCAGGAAGGGCTGCACATCATCTTGGAACAGGTGGTAATGTAGAATTTTTTTTTGGAAGAGGGCTTCCCTGGATCTTGAAATTTCGGGTAAGCAAGTTTTGATCATAGGTACTAGATAAGAGGATGGCCTTTGAACTGCTGGAAATTTCTTAGAAAAAAATCGGACTTGAAAGAAATTAATTATCTGGATCTCCTGATCTGGGTGTAACAGTATAAAAGCTCTAGTTATTCTGAGTGGTGGCTTCGCCAGGGGAAAAGTGGGGAGGATTCCTGGGTGATATTTACCACCATTGATCATGGGATATTGCTGGAGCACCGGAGCTTAATGAGCTAATTATTTTTAAAGTTCTGTGTTACAGTAGCTTCAGTTCATTAGGGAATTATAGTGGAAAATTTCTGCTTGGCTTCATGATCGCCTTGCATTGTTAAAAAAAACAAAACACCAAACCACTAGTGTTTTTGTCTTGTGCTTCTGTGTCTGTGCTGGAAACTGCATAACATCAGCTATTAAAGCAGTGGTCCCCAACCTTTTTGGTGCCAGGGACTGGTTTCATGGAAGACAATTTTTCCACAGACTGGGATGGCGGGTGGGAGTGAAGGATCCATGCACACAGTTTCGCCTGGCTCACTACTCACCAGTTGTGCAGCCTGGACACAGACCGATCCACGAACCAGGGGTTGGTAACTCCTGCATTAAAGTACTAGGCAGTCTTTCTGTATGTTACTGGTTAATCTGTAAAATCTTTCATGGCTTAATGTCTGTGAAGATTCTCAGTCATCCAGGTCATGACTGGCTTCAAGGATAAAACGAAGTCCAGTTGCCTTTTGAAAAAAAGGCAGCCTTTTTAGTGGCTTAGCATCCAAACATCTCAGTGGCAGCTAACCTGGGCACCAAGATCAGTTGGGGAGGTGCCATGTTTATGGTCCCATTGATACATTCAGTCCACTGTGTGATGATGGCCAGAGTAGGTAGGGCCTGTGTAACTCTTTTGTAAAATGGGAGGGATGACTTCGAAGAAGAGTTAATCGTAACAGCTTTGAAGGGAGAAGAAAGGCAAATCCCATTTCTCCCTCCTTCCAGCCTCTGTATATGTTGAACTACAATGCCCATCATCCTTTGCCAGCATGGCTATGGTGGCTGGGATCTAACAAGGTCTGGACCAGGTGTTGAAGCCTCAACATAGAATCCTACGGATACGTGTTGACTGGAAGAGAAAAAAAAAACTTTAAAAATCCCAGCTCTTTCCCAATTCAGTTCTTCAGCTATCTTGTGATTTTTTTTTTTAAAAAAAAGCTTTTCTTCCCCCACCCCTAAATTTGAAGGGGCTTATTGATGGGTAAATACGGTATGTTGTCTGGCGCTTTGAACTGTCCAAATAGAAGCTATAGTATCAACTTCCTCATGGGTATATATAACTGTATTTCTCAAAGATTTTTGGAATACCATAGTTCTGGATCCCTGGGGAGTCCACGAATGCTTGAAGAAATATTATTGATTTAAACCTTGAGTTTAGCCTTGGTAGTCCATGGCCACAAAAGGTATTTAAAAGGAGTCCATGGTGAAGAAAACATTGGGAACCTTTGCTATTCGTAGGGAAATGGAAGGGACAGTGGACTTCTTCCCATCTAAATGGCAGAGTTGCCATTTAATATGTGATGATGATGATGATAATCATATCTGTTCAGTTGCATACGATTCTTGGTGATTTTATGGGCCAGGTCTCTCCACAACTTCCTGTCTTGCACTGTTTCTTTGAATTATTCTCTGCTCTGGCTGGTGTCCTTTAAAAATGCGTGTGTGTATAGAGAGAGGGGGCTGGAGAGAGAGAGAGGGAGGAGAGAGAGAGAGAGAGAAAATATGGATCTGTCCTTCTCTTATTGAATGGTGAGGTTGGCAAAGACCTTTTTCTCTTCTCGTTCCCTACCCAAGCATTTGTGAATATTGCACTTTGAGTCAACAAACAGAAAACTAGGAAATCACAGTTTTTGTTCTGGAGAAGAAACCACAAAGATTTCTCCCCCAACCCCGGTCCCCCCTCTCCCTCTGGGTTAGGCCTTTCTCTTCCTACTGGTCAAACCCCAGTTCCCTTCCTCTGTTTTTCGAAAGCCAATTTAAGGGAAGCCAGAAGAGCTTCCATATCCAAAGGCAGCGTACCAGCATGGACTGTTTTTTTGCACCCTGCAGTTCATTACAAGGAGCAGATGTTGAGTGGGACAACCTTTCCATTGGAAGAAGCAGGGCTGTTGCTCTTATGGCCTTGAGGATCGCTCCAGTCAGGGAAGAGAGCAGTGGCCTTCCAGATGTTGCAAGACCATCTGTTTTGCCATGGACCGTTTTAAATGGGGCTTTGGGATGTCGGAGCTCAGCAGGATCTAGGAGCTTGGTTTCCCCACCCCTGGCAGCTGCTCTGCTCATGTTTTTACTCTGTTGTGTTCATAGCACTGTTGTGGATATGATTGCGGGTGGGGGGGAAGGGGGGAAATTCCCTCTCTGTGCACTTCTGGGTGAATAGCACCATCATTACAGGTGGTCCTTGACTTACGGCCGCAATTGCACCCAAATATTGTGTTGCTAAGCTAGACAGTTGTTAAGTGAATGTTGTCCCATTTTACGACGTTCCTTGCCACGGTTGTTCAGGGAATCACTGCAAGTTGATCAGTTGGTAGCCCGGTTGTTAAGTGAATCTGGGTTCCCCATGGAT